CCCCTCGATTAGTGTATCCATGAGTGTGTATACATTCTGAATATCTGCGACAGTGTGTTGCAATCAATTGTTGTTGTGATCTAGATATATCGCATGTATTATATTCTGTAGACTTATTCGCTGTGATTCTTATTCTTACTGTGATGCATATGTTAGACTGACCATCTTGTGATATGTACTTTATTTCACTTGTACCTGTGCATGGAGTGACTGTTAGATATGTTAGGCTAATGATTCGAGTTGGATTATAATACATTTTGACTGATATTATTGAGTCTATTTCACTAACCCGAATTATCACTTGCTCGCATTGTCACTAACCCGAATCTTCACTAGACCGAATTATCACTAACCCGAAAACACGACCATTTAGTCAAAAACGAAATTTGTTTCACTGACCCGAATTGTCACTAGCCCGAAAACATGCGTTTATGAGCGTTGTTTCACTGGCCCGAATTTTCACTAACCCGAATTGTCACTAGCCCGAAAGCGGAGCTTTTCCATTCCCTGTCTCTAACCCGAATTGACACTGGCCCGAATTGTCACTAACCCGAAAAGTGGTGGAGAGGGTGAACACAGCTAGTGTCTGCAAGAGTGTCTGGAACAAAATTGTCCAACCTATGAGAAGCTCCAGACAAAAAAAGCCACTTGGCCGGCGACATCATAGGACCCGGCACCTTTGGTGTTTTATCGGTTCCTTGTATGCATACGAACTGTCGAAAAGAGATTTGGACGAAATTCGAACCCCCCTCTGGATTTGGCAGGGGTCAAAACACCCCAAAAATGGCCGTTTTCGACGTTTTGGGACTAGATGGGTTCTCCGAAACCAAAGCCCAAAAAAGTACCCAAATGGATCCTGGGCATATGAATAAGGGCGATCTTTTGATTGCCGGTCCGCAAAATGAGTTTGGACAAGCCGTTTAGGCGCTATGAGGCGCCAAAGTTGACAAATTTCACTATTCGCAAATTTTTCGTAAAATATATTTTTTTCCCTGAAATGCAGTTTTGATGGGCCTGATGTGTCAGAAATATGTCCTTACCCTCCTTTCGTCAGTATTTTCTTAATACAATCCCGCTTCAGCTAATTTTTACACTAATTTTCACGCTGTGCACGCTTTTAAGCAACTTGAACGCTTGGCCGTTAGGGGCGTTACACCAAAAAAGCCACTTGGCCGGCGACCACCTCGGATCGGGCTCAAACTTTCTTTCTGGATTCCTTTTACCCATAGAAACGCCATGGGAGCGAGATCCGGCTCGAACTCTGGATTTTGTAGGGGTCGAAAACCCCCCAAGATAGCTGTGTTTGAGGGTTGGGGATTTATTGGGTTGGTGGAGCCGGCTGGCCAGAAAATCACACACATCAAAATTATTCCCAAAAAAGCCATGAATAGGCGAAAAAGTCGTGTTTTTTCGTTTTTGTTGGCTGAGCGATAGCGAAGCCCGTTTCCAGTAGGGTTGAAAAGTTTTGTCGTCTGTTTGTTTGTCTGTCTGTGTGTGTGTGTGTGTGTGTGTGTGTGCACTACTCCTCCTGAACGGCTCGGCCGATCTGGCTGAGATTTTGCAGGGTCATTAGGTATGTCCTTGGCTCGCCACACACCAAAATTCAGCTTCCTATCTCAATCTATTCGGTCATATTAGCCAAAAAACACTTCAAAAACGACAGAAAAAAGACAACTTTTTTGGTACTTTTGGTACACGGCAGAAAAAAGACAACTCTTTAATTACTTGCAATTTATTTTTTTCAAGTTTCATATCATTTCATATGTTTTGGAGGCTGCTGATGACGAAAATAGAACCTGTTCGGACCCCCGACCGAAAGTTGAATCCCATCGGTGTAGATTTTCGTAACTAAATACTATTTCTACGGTCTGCCTAGGAAAGCAGCCTGCCGAAGGCAGGTTAGCGCCGCAGGCCAACACTGAGATTCCAAACGCTATGAGTATAGCACGTATGGTGCAATGCAGCTGAGATATCGCACCACACGTGCAATACGACAGCCATATTGCACCTTACGTGCAATACGTCCCAAAAATGCCCTAAGCTAATGCATGGGAATAAGAAGGCATTGCACTTTATGTGCAATGCTTTTGCATTGCACCAATTGACGCTATACACATAGCGTTTGGATTCTCAGTGAAGGTAGGTGTATACGCCAGGCGTGAATGGTCGAAACTGGCGCAGCACCGCGAAGCCTGTTACGACAAGACACGGTCTGGCGTACACCTACCTTGTATCTTTGGAAGCACATATCTCCATGGCCCCCCGTCCTTTATGGGTGGGACAGGTCTCATTTTGTAGATAATACTCAAAACTAAAGTCAAGAATAGAATTTGGCCACCCATATTCATATCGGTGGGTTGTAATAATAGGGTACTTTCGTAGATCCTGAACCGGAAGCAGGCAGACCAGCAGACGCCAAATTGGCCGGAAACTAACCTCTCTTCGGATCTAAAACTATAGCCGAGCTGTGCAAATATTGCTCGCGAAACACATATGCACTGCAAGCAAGTATCAAACGACTGTTTATGTTCAAGTGTGGCCGATACGTTTGACTAACGTCTCTTTCCCATGTCAAGTTTGGATCTACTTCCGCCAACATGGCGTCTGTGTGCTTCCGGTTCAGGGATCCACGAAAGTACCCTATTGATGTAATTACCGTATGCCCCTCTCCTATTGTATGTATGTTTTAGTGTGGAGTGTAAGTACTGTACTTAGTTGTGGGTCAATCCCTTCTCACTGTTGTAGAGTATCGCTGGCAGAGCGAAAGACTGTTCTGATTAGAGATAATGAGGAAGCAAACAGTTTGGTCTGGTCCCTCTGTGCTTTAGCTCTCCTCTCCCACTGGATGCTTGATGAGGGGCTGGAGCCCATAGTAAAGTCAAATTTGTGAGAGTGTACATACTTGGCCTAACACTCATTTGTAAGAGTGTACCTGGAAGGCTCAGGTTTGTACTGGCCAAGCATCGCAAAGCCTGTTACGACGAGACGAAGTCTGAAGTGAAGGGGTGCACTGAAAAACCTGACGTGGTCCAGACCGCTCCAAGGGGCCCTCCATTGCGTGACGCACCGAGGGGAAGGGGGGGGGGGTCCGTTCCGCGAATCGCTGCGCGGTATTTGGGGTGGGAGGGTCGTACCAGCGTAACGTTGCTCTGAACACATCATGAGAGCAACGTCACAGAAGTGCTAAGAGTAAATGAAGTCAAGGACTCTGTTGACCTCAGAAATGTTGCGTATCGTTCACTGCTAATCAAATGTGGATAAAGTCCGCGCTAGGAAGCGCGCGGACCACGGATGGTCCACACTTGGAAGTGAGACTGGCTTCTGAGGAGAGAAGTTAAACGCTGTGAAGCGTAGATCACAGCTTGGTCCACGTTTCCCTGGCTTACACCATTCGCGGTCCACGTTTTCAAGCGTAGCGTGGACCCGGTCCACTCTTGGACTAGCAGTGTCACGCTGGTTGGAAGGGGTGGGGGATCTAGTCCAGCGTAACGCTGCTCTGCAAACTGAAGTGTGTACATAGTACACTCTTATTAGAGCATGCTTCCAAGTACACTCTTATTTACAGCATACTTGCTAGGTACACACTTACATAGAGTGTACATTGCATGTACACGCTAAATAAGAGTGTACCTGGCAAGCACACTTAAACTGGCCCATGCTTTTAGATAGGATTTAACGAGTGTATTTTAGCGTGTATATGGAAGGTACACACTTATTTAGCGTGTACTTGCCAGGCACACTCTATTTTAGCGTGTGCCTAGCAAGTATGCTGTAAATAAGAGTGTACTTGGAAGCATGCTCAAAGAAGAGTGTACTATGTACACACTTCAGTTTGCAGAGTGCGTGACGTGGGGGAGGGGAGGGGGTTTATAAAGTGCTAAGTGCGGAACGTGATGGACCCTTTCAGTCATCACCGTGTGAAGAACAGAAGTTATTAAAATTTCGGGAACCAGTGGCGCGCCATCTAGCGGCGATTACAGTACACTGTCCAAAGCTGATCTCTGATTGGTCTCAAGCGTACGTCTGAACAAACATCCCAACAGTCGCCGCTACGTGGCGCGCAACTGGTTCCTACTTCTTGATTACTTTTATTCTTCACCCGGCGATGACTGAAAGGGTCTATGAATGGACGGCCCCTAACGTTCAGTAAAGTGTCTATCTGTTCTAAATCGGAATCAGGTTGATCCGCTTCGCCCAACAGTGAACAGTAAATAATGTTTATCTGAGAAATTTTCTTCAACCTAACGCTGTGAGAGGGGGTGGGGGCGTCTCGCCCAACGTAGAACCGCGTTACATCGGGGGCGGTTCAAGCATTGAAAAGTGACTCGTTGCAGGTGACGACTGGCAGAACTGCGACCGTCTGATGTGGGTGTCTCATTCGTTAAAGCGTGGATCAACATTCAAACGAATGTGACAAAATTCACATTTTAACGAATCTGACGTCACATTGTTGAATAACAGTGTCGTTAGCTCTTGCACTGTGAGAAATTCGTGTCCAAGTAGCCTTCAGTTTCATTTTAAATCTATTCATTTTGATATTCTCTGCATTTGAGAAGGAGATTGTAAACTTTTGTAGATGTACTGTTGTACGATATATTCAATTTCGTTGTCTTGTAATGCTCTGCCTCGAAACTGGATTGTGCGGGCAACGTAATTGCAATGCAGTCATTCTTATGTGTGTTCATTTTAACTCAATGTGTGTTCTTTTTTGTATCAGACGCGCCTCCATGACGAATCCTTTTAAACCAAGTGTGACATGAACGATATTTGTAACAGACATAATTCAGTGAATGGTAAGGAGGCGTTACCATCCTCTGAAGTACTTCCGAAGTCATCCTTACTCAAAGGCCTGGTGGAAAATAATTCTGAAGAGATGCTTCGTTTTCAAATGGAGTACAGGAAAGGATGTTGGACTGCCAACTGCACTTCACTAATTACTTTTTTTTTATTCCGCAGGTGCTTAACTTGAGGACATGAAATTGTCGTAGCAAGAAGTACAATTGTCAGACCATCGTCAGGTTTTGCTATATTCTTAGAAGTTCCAAGTGATGAATCGATGGATATTATGTGATTAGCCTGAGCTACGATTTGCCAAGCACAGCACAAGGCCAATCTGCGTACTGTCTTACACACGTCCAGTGTTTTTCTGACCTGTTCTTCATTTTGTCGAAATAAAAACCGTTGTTTTCAGCTCGTGTGTAGGGGTGTTGTAGGTTGTGTGATGTTTTGTCTGTTGAACCTTCAAATTGCATTTCGTATCTCCGTTCCTTGTTTTGTTATGCTGTTTATGTTATGTTGTTATACTGTTATGTACATGTAAACACATTGGGAAGAAAGCAAGCTCAATTCAAATGTCCATGACACTTAAGGATGCTTCCTGAAAGAGACATCTTATTTGTGTCGAAGAGACTTCATTCTTAATTTACCTACTTACCTACTTATTCACTTTAGGATCTTTTGCACGCTTGGTACACATTTTCACGTGGATCGGCGGAGTGTGCTTGTCTCAGTACACTCGAATATAAGGTTATTTGTCCGCACTCAAGCTCGCTCCAATGTACTTGTTAGCAAGTGCATTGTTAAAAGTGTTCTTAGTACATAGAGGACTAAGTAGTGATGGTAGTATGGTTGTATTGTAGATGGTTGTATTGTTTGGTCATGTTTTCCGGTGGTGGGCCCTGCCCCTGATACCTTTCCCGGTGGCAGTGGGTGCATGGCGTTCGTGCATGACTAGAGCCTGTGCACGACGTACCGCGTTGTCTATTGTGCTCGACGCTAATTCATCTTCGCCCTGTCACTACAGAAGTCGTCCGCAATGGAGCCAGACTGATTCCCCTGGTGCAGCGACTGCACCTGGAGTCCGCCCTGATGCATCGCAGATTCAATGTCAACGGCGTTGGGAAAGGCGCCCGGCGTTTGTCTGCTGAGAAAGGTGATAACTGCTTTTATTGCTCTGTAGTTTTTCGTGCACACAGTGCACTGTGAAAATTTGTTGTCACTTTGTGACAAAATCGCGGATGACATTTTCATTTCATTACTTTCAAATCATGACAATCTCATCACAAATTGATGACGTTTTCATCAAAGCTCCTATACTTATTGTATAGGCGTGACAACTATGTCATCAATTTTTTTTTATGACGCTCTTGTAAGGAAAATTGTCCTTGAAATTTTCATCAAGTGACGATTCAAATTTTCAGTGTGCTAGCCAGAGGCAGGCCCAATTGACTGTTGAAAATTCCTAGCAGGCTGCTTTGCTCCGCACAGCAATAAGGCCTACGAAGAATCACTTCGTAATACGAAGAAAACGAAGGCATTGTGAACTCCACTAAGAATTGTTTCGTTTTACGAATCAAAACTCTTCGTGAAAGATTTCGCCTAAAGAATAAGAATCTATTCTGAAGTGCCCTCATCCTCATTTTCTTCGTAGCTACGAAGCAAAAGCTTTCTTGACTTCCCTGAGTGCGAAGCTTTGCATGAAATCAAGCAGTCACGTGCAATCCATGTGAAATCATGCGTAACAGCGCGCAAGGTGCTGCTGAATGCACAATTCGAGGGGCCTATTCAAAAGATCTTATCTGGGCGTTCCTCCCAATAGAATCTTATGTTAAACGCAGCTGACTAAGTCACAAAGGTGACTGGTGACTTGCATTCTGTTTGATCATTAAATACAGCTCGATACAGCTACAAAACATTATCATTTTTGATCAAATTCATGAATTTAATTTAAGTGCGCTTAAACGTGAAGATGATAGATGGAAGAAACCAATAGTGCATGTAGAAATATATTCAGCTTACTCTAGTACCTGTCCCAAGTGGTCAAACTGAGTGAAATTTGCCTGCGTTAAGATAAGATTCTCGTGAGGGGAACGCCCCTATAAGATCTTTTGAACAGGACCCCTCGAATTTTTGCTCAGCTACGCACGATTTGTGCACTTACGTTTGCAAGTCAGTTTGCTTATCTTTTTCTAATGTCCTCGGTTGTAAACTAATGATTTAAGTAGTGCGTCATTAAAGTGTTGGCAGACTACTGCCCTTCCTTGTGAACATTTGTTTTGTTGCTGAATGAATCCCATGGCACTCCCGGTCAGCCTCAGTTGAGCGGGCTGTTTATTAACAGCAAAGTTTACGGTAAAAGCGGTCCCTGCACTGCAAGAAAAAAAAAACAACAAAAGTACACAAACTCTTGGCAAATTTTTTTAAATCAGAAATAGAGACCACTAAATTATGCATATAGAATCATCATTTTATGCGCCACATTTTAACCCATTTATGCGGACTTTATGCGCCTAAAAATGTAGTTTTATGCGGGGTTTATGCGGGTAAAATTGTGGTTTTATGCAAAAATATGCGAAGGAGGAAAATAGGAGCGGAATGACAAATAGTAGAATTAGCTCATAAAAAAGTATTTAATGTTATTATCACGTGCCCCCAAAACACCACCACAATATGAACAACACTTGCGTCTGTCAGCAAACTCACTCACTACTCGAAGTCCATAACCTCGTCGAACATGCTGGAACGGGCGAGAACGCGAGACGGGTGGAGGGGGCGAGGCGGGGCGGTGGACTGCGCGACGTGACGAGTATAGAGTAGGCGCAGGAATCAAAGGGCGCGTATTTTTAAATCGGTGGCGCGTCAAAAGCTGTAAATCGGCGTATTTTACGGGATTTTGGAGGCCTAATAGGTAGTTTATGCGGGAATACGTGACTTTATGCGCATAATATGCAAGTATGCGTTATGTTGCGTTTGTGCTTAGATTATGCGTCATTATGCGGTCTTGTTTCCGGTGTAGACCTACTTAAAACATGTTAAACTGTCTTTCTTTTGTCTTTTTCTCATACTTTAACAAAATATGCGATTATGCACGCGCATAATTTAGTGGTCTCTAATCAGAAATTTATTGTACTTTCAAAGTACAACAATTGTTCAAAGAACAATGGATCCGGCATGACGAGTGCTGGGCAGTCCAGGCCTCGTTGTGATTCGTATAATTCTAGTTGTACTTTTTCCAACCCTGTTGTACTTTCATTGAACAGTTTTTGTTGTACTTATGTTGTATTATTCACACTTTTCCTTGCAGTGTGGTTTTCCCTCTGGAACCCTCTGGAACTCGCTTACGTCTTTCCTATGGGTTACGTGGGAAAACCTCGAACAGTTATTGCCGTGGGTGGTTTTAGATGGTTAAGTGAGGCAAAGGCAACCAACCAGCCACGAATTCGGCGCTTATTTTATCAACTCAAGCGGTGTGGAGGTTTGCAATTATTTGGTTGCAATCGTCATCCTTTTCTAACAGTGTACCTTGTTGTCGGCCCGTCTTGCTCACAGGGTCCACTGCGTGTGCGTCACGCCGCCTCGCCGTGAAGCCCGACTTTGGGATGAGGCACTTCGGCGCTCGCGGCCCTCTCCTCAAGTCGCTGCCGACGCCGCAGGATCCGCCGCCGTCCGTGACCCCGCCTCGCGAGAATCCGTCCGTCTCCGCACCGTGCGATCAGGAGGCAGCCGGGCAGGACGCTGCCGCCCATCTGCAGCCGAGTCTAGGAAGCAGGGATTCATCTGAGGTATGCAAAACATACGAAGAAAATGAGGGCGTTGCACAATTGCTTCGTATTATGAAGAAATTCTTCGTATTACGAACAGGGTTGCCACAAGTCTGGAAAACCTCGAAAACCTGGAAAAGTCAGTTGATTTGAAAATGGTCAGGGAAAAGTCTGGGATAATTAAATGAAGTCAGGGAAAACGGAAACAAGTGGCACAAACGACCCTAGACACCTATTTCGTTCGATAAACTCATCACTTAATATACCCAACTGCTGGAAAAAGTATCCGAAAAAGTCAGGGATATACACAAAATAATGGTCTGGAAGTCAGGGAAAATGAGAATTTCATACATTCTAAACGTTCTACACTGAAGATTCTCCATATTATGGTGAAAATGTTCCATATTATGGTGGTGCAGCTGACTTCGTAACATACCATTGCGAATTCACTGTACCTTATAGATATTTTGATGAATTTTGTTGGTATTATGGAAAAAATCTCCGCCATAATATGTTTGTGCAGCCTTTCACCGTAAGACATTTTCTGTGTATCTGTGGCAACCCTGACGAAGGATTCTGCTTCATAATACGAAGCATTTCTTCGTCGATTTTACAATGCCTTCATTTTCTCCGTATTACGAAGCTCTTCTTTGTAGACTTTTTACTGTGCGTGTTTAAATTTGTGAAATTACGACTAAATTATCGTTAAATTTGCACCACGATATGATTTTAAAAATTTCAAACACGATATTATTATGCCCGCCTGTTCTTTTTAACTTACAAAATGAATTACTGTATTTTCAATTAGGTGGTGATTAACTCTTGAGTGCTTCATGTGAACTCAGCATATAGGATGTAGTAGCTTAGTAAAACAAAAACTTCCATTCTCGAAGAGAATGGTTCAGCCGTAAGCCAAATCACTTTCGCCTGTTGCCGCGAAACGAGGAATTTGGTCTAGAGTGTCTTACGATAGACAAAATGTTGGATGACCATGCTGTCTGTAACTGAATCCAGTTAGGTGAAATTCTCAAAGATCAAAGATAGAAGTGCTCGTACCATCTACAGGAAAAAATTGTCCAAATTTTTTTTGACAATGCGTACTGTTAAAAGGAATAATAGAAACAGGCGTTATGTGACTGATGTTTTGTCGTTTTTTAACACACAGTTCCTGTTTCCAAACAGACTTCCGTATTGGAAACGCATTTTCCGTTAGCTAAACGGTATATTTTTGGTCCAGAATTAGTCTTTTTTTCTCTTTGTTTAAAAACGGTGATTTGCCGTTTGTGAACATCGGTGGATGTAAACTTTGCATAAACTTTTCCTTCTAAAATGGCTGGATTTTTCACAGTGCCCTAAGGACACGCTTGAGGGCACTCCGTAAATCGAAAAGCGTGCATTGTATGCTTTAGCTGGAGCATGCCTGCCAATCACGCACCAACCAGTGCAGACATGCCACGTACACGCACATCTAGTGCACAACGGATAGGGAGTTTTCTGCATCTTTAAGCGTGTACATGGCACATATGCACCTGGTTGGGCAAACTTCGGCAGGTATGCGCTAGAAGGGGCTTGCTCGCAGGCATGCTTCATCTGCACTCTATGTGTCTTACAATGAAATTTGACCTATGTTATTCGTTACTGTGAATTCGGCGCAAGCATAATATGAAGCAATATCTTCGTACTACGAATCTTGTTCGGCTTTTTCATTGTAGGATATGAAGAGGAACCTTCGTAATAAGACGAAATACAACCTTATTATGCTTGCGCCGTTTCCTTCGTATTATCACTGTGGAAAAAGGCTGTTAACAGATTGTGATAATTTTCCGTAGCCCCCTTATTAATATTCTCCGTAGGAGCGTACAGTCTTCTCCCTAGGACCTTACAGTGTTCTCCGTAGGACTCTACAATCTTCCAAGCCCTACGGAGAAGACTGCACGGTCCTACGCAGGATGTCCCACAGAGAAGACTGTAAGATCTTACGGAGATTATTGATAAGGGGCCTACAGAGAATCCTGGTAAAAAAAATTAATAGAATCTTCCGTACCTGTTTGTCACAGTGTATGGGAAATTTCTTCGTAAGACATTAAGAGTGTAGAGCATGCTATGTGCGCTGTGCGCTTCTCGGTTTGTAGAGCGCACCGTAAAAAATTCCGTACTTTTGTACGGAAATGGTACAGAAAAATATAGTACGGGAGTACGGAGAAAAGTACGGAACGTCCGTACTTGCTCCATTTGAACCTTTGTAAACGGGTTCGGAAAACAAGTACGGAAGTTCCGTAGTTTGCAAGTGCGGACGGTCCGGGCAAATTATTGACCAGACATTCCGTACTTTTTCCATACCATTTTCTCTCAGTGCGAGGTGGTTCCCAATGAGCCTACCGCAGTGTGTGTGTTCTTCCAGGAGTCCGAGGCGGCCGAGGACGAGGCCGCGGGTCCCGCCAACCGGGTGGGCTGGTGCATCACGCCGGGCTGCGACCTGGAGTTCGCCTCGTGGGCGGACCACGTTGAGCACCAGCGGGAGGTGCACTGCCTCGCCTTCCGCAGCTACCTGTGCTCGCTCTGCCTGGACTGCGTCAGCATGTACCCGCACATGCGTCGCCACGAGCTGGTCGCCGAAGACTTCCAGTGTGCGTCCTGCTCGGCGCAGTTCGTCGACTTCAAGAGCCTCCACCGCCACGGGCTTCTCTTCCACCGGCTGGAGCCGCAAGACGACTAGGATGCTCGTTATTCTGTTTGTTACAAGCGTAACTGTCTAGTTACAAAAGTAACTGTCTGCTAAGTATACGCTTACAAATGCGTGCTCGCAAGTACACACTTACAAACGCTTACTTTGCCAAATACACAAGTACCAATTGCCTACTTGACAAGTTCACACTTACGCATTTGTAAGTGTGAACTTGCCTAGCATGCAATTTGTAAGTGTGAACTTAGCCAAATACGCGTTTGAAAGTGTGTACTTGCAAGCATGCATCTGTAAAGGAGTCCCTAGCAGACAGTTAAGTTTACAGTGAATTTCTTTCCTTTTCGTCATTTTCTTCTTGGTTCAGTGTGTAGACTTAAAAAGCCTACACCGCCACGGACTGCTCTTCCACCGTGGAGCCGCAACTGCTGCCTTGACCAATAGAATGGTCAATATTTAATGTATTATTTCTTTTCTTTTTGTAGTTTCATTCTTCATTTTATGTTGCGTACTTGGGTATGTTATGCATCATGTTTGTGATTTAAGAAGGAAATGTTGGTCGCGGTGTGTTAATTTGGGTGGGGACAAATACAAGTTTTTTTTTTGTTTTGTGGTGCAATGGCATTTCAGCCGCAATCATTGGCACCTAACACTTGTTTAAATTCTATGTTAACTGCATTGTGTACTAGGTTGACACCTGAAGTCGTTCTTTTTGTTTGTTGTGTGGGTCAATGGCATCCAATCTTAAATAATTGATACATGTTTAATTTTCATGCAAACAATGTTGTGTACTTGGTTTTGAAGTCATAAATATTATTTTGCACACTGAATAACACTGTTGCTCTTTACCCAGAAAATCAGTTCTTGAAACAAGAACAATTGACTTCATTCAAGCCTCAAATGTTCTCATCCCCAGCAAGTTCCATAGGTAAGGGAGAGTGGGGTAATACCGGACGCTTTTTTTCTTTTTGGTCTTTGAGCTTGAATATGCTTCTTGGGTCAAATGTTACTACAGAAGAGTAAAGTATGGACCTTTACCTTCACAATGATATACATGAAAGCCAAATCTCAGCAACGGTTAGGGAGATATAGGCGCCTAACAAAAGCCCTGCACGTGTCCGGAATTACCCCAGGCTGGGGTAATTCCGGACGACCTATGGGGCAATTCCGGACGACCTTAAAATTTGACACCACTCGAGCTTACTTTCGCTTGTTTTGATGTCAGGCATGCTTTTAGAAGGCGTACAAGGACATTTGCTGCGAACTGAAATGTTTGATTATTACTCAAAGCATATTATAAGGAATAATTTCTATCAAAACCCCTAAGTTGACAACACTGTCTTGAGTAAAGCTCTTAAACATAGCTGCAATGCTACTTTTCGTTCTTTCTTTATCCTTCTTAACGGTGGGGATGCACGTCCACAATTTTGAACCCACTACCTTAACATTATGCGGGAAATTGAAGAAAATAACCCTTATTGTCCGGATTTACCCCACAGGTAGTGAAAACCTTTGATGTTCAACTGTAAGAAAACGGCGAGCCATACGAGCACGCCCGAAACGCCAAAGTAAAGTCCAATGACCATATAATATGATAAAATTTTAGTCATGGGACTGAACTTGATGGTAAGGTACGATAAGTACATGGAAATACGGGGGAAAGATGCAGCTTTTGCCTATTTTTGATGGTACTCAAAATTCGTGAAGCGACCACAGCCAAATGGTTTGACCTCCTACCTTGGCGATTTGGAATTATCATTATTAACTAATTATCTTCCTCTGTTAGGCGGGCTTTTGAGTTATCTTCACTCAAACCCAGTGAAAATCGAAGTGTCCGGAATTACCCCGTGTCCGGAATTACCCCACTCTCCCTTACCGTAAAAGCGGGTAGTGTGATACAGACCACGGTGCTTCCAAGCATCAATGCGAGATTTCAGCTCGATTTATAGAAATTAAAGAAAATAGATTTTTGGCATTTTCTAACTTTTAACGATACACTACAGCTGTGGAGCATTAAGCGGGCAGCAGCACTTTGTGCTCGTTTTTTTTTCCTATTATTTCGATTTTTCTGTTTGCATTTAGATAAAAAAAGAGTTGCATGAATCTTAGAAACGAACGGCGGTAACCCTGTAAAAGATCAGACTTTACACAACAATTTAATTGGTTTAGCATTGAGTGAGGTATTTCAATGAAACACGTAAAAAATGTCGCTGCACATCGGACAAACTTTTTCGTCGTCGTCGTCGTACGAGGAGTTCATTACACTTCGTGATGAAGGTAATGATCACGCCTGGATCATTCACCAAAGCATTCTGCAGAGCTTGGACTACAATGAGGTTCTTGATTCCACACAATAACATTGCTAGCTTCAAGATTTATTTTTTTAGCAGATGATACCTTTACTTTAAAACGTACCTAAAACTCCAAGACACCATAAGGTAAACAAGGTAGGTTTACGCCAGACCGCGTCTTGTCGTAACAGGCTTCGCGATGTCTCGCGGTCTGTTCCTCCAATCCGCGCCTGGCGCAACCTACCTTGGCCTGCGGCGCTAGCCTGCCTTCGTCAGGCAATGCTTGCCCATCATCAGTTACTTCTGATTTGTTGCATGCTGGGGGGGGGGGCTCCGCCCCCAGACCCCCTTCACTCTTTAAAGAGTTGCTTCATCTACAAATTACACGACCTTGACCCTTGTAACTTTTCAACTTGTCAGGTTGGGGGGCTCCGCCCCTCAGACCCCCCTTTCATCAAGACAGGAGAAATCTACCTGCAGAAAACTCGATTTTTCGCCATTTTTAGGTGTTTTTCGGCTATAAAAAACTGAACCAATTGAGCTAAGAAAGTGAAATTTCGCGTGTGCCGAGTCAAGAACAAACCTAATAAGCCTGCAAAATCTCAGCCAGATCGGCCGAGCCGTTCAGGAGAAGTAGTGTACACAGACAGACAGACAAACAGACAGACAGAAAAAGTTTTTCAACCCCACTGGAGTAACAGGCTTCGCTATCGCTCAGCCAAAAAATCAATTGTGAGTCACATTTTTGAGAATTTCACATTAAGGCTTTTAATTCTGACCTGGTGACAAAAGTGTATGTGCGGCCTTTAACTATGGTTAAGTTTTACAGCATAGCAGCCCCGTCTATCATTCTTGTTTACTAAGCTGCGGCTGTTTTAAAAATAGTCTGTTTTGGCCCACAATTGATTTTTCGAACCAGTTGTGGGTCAGCATTGTGGACGCTGCGGTGCAAGAACTTGGTTAACGTTGTTGCTCAACTTGTTAGTACTGATTTTCTCACCAGAAATGACAACTCGAATGACAAGTTGCAAGGCTGTAACAGAATAATTTCTGGTTAGTTGAGAAAAATAAATTTAGAAAAGACAGATTGTTAAGGGAACCAGTGATCTCTGACTCAATTACTTTAAAAATCTACAGATCTATAGAGCCTTTCCCGTAGTGGAAAAAGTGGATATGTGAATGAAAAGAGAGAGACTGGTCCCTTTATGGTGATAAATAGTTACCTCTCTTAACAGGGCAAGGCTGACGAGGGGTATTCAGATCTAAAACAGAGAGAGCTCTACGAGTGATACAGCTGGCAGCAGAACTCTCTTTTGTAACTTGGATAGCTGTGGATTTGTCACCACAGACAGTGGAGCTAGGACCACAGGAAAGTCTTGAAAGTTGCATTGAAGTAGAGCTGGGTACAAAGGCATGTCCCGAAGGTTGCGATACAGAGGAGCTGGGTTTGAAGGCCGGTCTTGAAGGTTGTGCAACAATGGAGCTGGCTCCAAAGGTAAGGGAGGGTGGGGCACCATGACCACTGGGGCACCATGACCACCCCCCTCGCTCTCGGGAACTACTTTGCCGACGGCAACCGGTCGACCGGACTTCCGAGAGAATAGAATTCTAACTATTTTCAGCCAGAGCCCAACCTTCTAGCTTCAAGGGTACGACCATAGCACCTCGCCGAAATTTTTGTTACAGCGTTTTGGCTAAATTGGGCGTTTTTCAAACCTGAAATATTTTTTCTCACTCTCACATTTGAGGAGATAAGTTCGATGTCTTGTTTTTCTCAAAATGTCGGCTCTCCGGCAAAATATCCAACATCACATTTAATTCTAAGTAGCTTTTTGCTTGCTCGGGGAGCCTTAGAGTCGTAAACTGCATTGTGGGGAGCCATGGCCACTTTTTAGTGGGGCACCATGACCATACATATTTGAGTGTTTTTTCTCATATTTTGGCCTGATAATGATTTATTTTCGTCGAAAAATTTGCTCTTTGCTTCTGAAAATGTATAAAGGTTGAATAATTGCTGCAGAATAGATAGTTTTACCACAAATCGTGAATCACCAGGATGATTAAGAGTGGTTCTGAAACTGAGACTTGAAATGGTAGTTTCTCTTGCACTAAATGAGCTCCAAACCGCAAAAGTTGGCCGCGAAGGCGATCCGTGGCTACTTTGCACCAAGATGGCTCTGGCATTATGAGAAACAGCATTTAATTCACTTGTTTGCAGTGTAGTAACCGCGGTAATTTTCTTAAAATTTACCAAATTGAAATCTGCATACGAATTTGGATTCGTCTAAGCAAGATGAACATAAAATGTTAACACATGTCATAGCTTTGGATGTGAAATTTGAAAGCCTCAGAGCGTTAACTGTATTAAGCCGTCCATTTTAAGGCATTTTAGAACCATTGATACTTCGAAGGTTTTTACAGTGTTTTTTTAGTTAAGTTGACTGGCCTGATGGTAAGGACAGCGATATAAACAATTTCAATGAGAATACTGGTAGAAAGTACACTTTTTTGGGCCAAAAAATTACTATGGTCATGGTACTCCATAGGTGGGGTGCCATGACTACTTTGCGTTTTAATTTTCAAAGTGTTCTGTGAGCCTGCCGTGCATTGCGGAGTGTTCTGTGAGCCTGCCGTGCATTGCGGACAAGTTCCAATGGGTGGAAGAGGTCCATGGAGGTCCAATGAATCCCCTCATGCTGGAAACTTAACTTTTCGAACCACACGGTGGAGTAGAGGGAGGCACAAAAAAAAGTGGTCATGGTTCCCCGCCCTCCCTTATGTCCTGAAGGTTGCGAGACAATGCAGCTGGGTTTGAAGGCCTGTACTGAAGGTTGCGTAACAGTGAAGCTGACTGCAGGGGCATGTCCTGAAGGTTGCGTAACAGTGGAGCTGGGTTTGAAGACATGTCTGACAGATTGCATACCAGAAGAACGGGGTATAGAGACTTCTCTTGAAGGTTGCATAACAGTAGACCTGGGTACAAGGGCTGGAGGCTGAGGCTGGAGGTTGAGTAAAAGTAGACCTGGGTACAAGGGCATGTCTTGGAGGTTGAGTAAATGTAGACCTAGGTAAAAGGGCATGTCTTGGAGGTTGAATAAAAGTAGAGCTGCGTACAATGTCATGTCTTGAAGGTTGCGTTGCAGAGCAGCTGGATCCAAAGGCACCTCTTGAAGGACCCGTAAAAATGGTTGTACCTTCATCTAATAAGTCAGGAGATGGAATTTGCCACTCATCTTTATCAACTGGTGTGATACTGCTGCAGCTGTTGACCGAAGCAACTCTTGCAGGCTGGATAGAAGTTAACGTACCTTCATGTCATAAGGCATCAGGTGGAATTTGCCACCCATTTTTATCCACTGGTGTGCTGACTATGGAGCTGATGCCAGAAGCAACTTTTGAAGGCTGCATATAAGTGGATGTACCTTCATGTAAAATGTCAGGAGATGGAATTTGCACCTACCTTCATCAACTGGTTCGGTGGCCAAAACACCTCCTGAAGTTTGTAGATGGAAGACAGTGGAATCATCTTCATATAATAT